AAAAGGTCAAGAACTTTTTAGAAAAGATTTCTTTAAAGCTGGATAAAAATACATTGCTATAAATCAGTGCCTTTCAAACAGTAAGAACAAAACAGAAAAAAAAGAATGACTTAATAAGAAATCACATAGTTCAGAAATGAGAAACTTGTGTTCTCAGCTTTGTCATGAATTTTCTATATGTCATCAGATTGTACCATTTATTTACTTACTTAGTATTAAACATTTGTTCATTTGCAAAGTAACACAAAAGAATAGCTGAAATATTAATTTTATGAAATTTTTCTTACATTTATATAAAGCATCTTTGCAAAGCTGACTTCTAAATTACATTTCACTGGCTCCACAACAGTAATAACAATTATCTTCTCTATATTCACAGATCCTCAAGGGTTGACTTTCTTGACATAGCTCTCTTTTCTATCTAGTTTTCATTGCTCTGTGGAATTTTGGCACATTTTCTCCCTTATGTGTGGTGTCAATGCATCAACACTAATGGGAAAGGCTACTCGTGCTTTTTCAGATTGGTACTTTTTTCTGGAATAAGTGGTACATTTTTCTTGGTATTTTTACTCCCTACTTTTTTTTTTCCTCTCCATATCTCTTTCCAACTCTCATCCTCCTGGCCACCCTTATATTGTCCCATGCTGTCTATCTTATGAACCAATTCTGAAAATGGTGAACTATTCTCAGAGCAAAGCTCAGTGTTCACAGATGCAAGCAACATAGCTTCAGTTGCTACGGCAAGAAAATCCTCTTTGCAGTTTTGCTGAAAATCTTTATTTCCATATTTTAGAATAAATAAACTGGGAGAGTTTCACTATCTTCTTTTTGAAAGTCATAAAATGGTCAGGGAAACGAGATACCCTTTTTTACTCCAATGGTGATAATAATGGCCTAAGAAAACTTACTCAGAAAGCCCTTCAGCTCTTAATTCATTCCTATTTGTTGGCTTAATGCCAACTTTCGTGTCTCTCCACAGTTCCAAATATAAGTTATTAGATCCCTGGGAACACAGACAAATAACAATCATGACCCGAGATTTTAAAAGAAATGCCCACCTCAGCCTCACAGTTTTCTAGGCAGCTTATTCAGCGATTCAATGTGAGTATCTTCTTTTTCTACCCTAATCATGCCTTTAAAGTGTTTGGTCCATTTTGAAAGCAAAAAACTGAGAAAATATCAGAAAAGATGATTTCCTGCCAGCCGCACATTGACAAATCCAGCAGAGGAATCTCATGACTGTGTTATCCTCATACTCCTGGCTTGTCTCCTGACTTTCCCCTGCTTTAGGCTTTCCACTCTTCTTTATGCTGAATTGTGTGACCTGCTGCTCAGCCTCAGGCAACTCAGTTGTGGAGTCTGGGATTGTACTATTTGCAGTGTCATTGAGTTGTTTGCCTATGCTGGCGTTTGAGATTTCTTGCTTTCTGGAGCATTTCACCCCACTCCCTACGTTCATGCAGGACTCCACTCCCAGGCAGCAGTGAGAGGGGCAGAGTGGATGTGATTCTTTACCACCTTGCACATCCTCTGGCAGCCCCTCTGCCCCTGCTCTGACTGATACTTCTTGCTTTTGGGCACATGGCATGAGTCAAGCAGTTGTTTTAACAGCATACACAGGTAAGGCAGTAACAGGAAAAGAACAGAGAATTCAAAAGTAGCAAAGCACACTCCATTTTCTTCCCCCTTATCTAGTACATGTCTGTTGTACTGGAGTTTTGCTTGTTTGATTGCCTGTTTATTTCTGCTGGGAGACTGAGGGGGTATAGGGTTGTGGGACCATGACCCTGTGGCCACCAGCAAGGGTTTCACAGTCACTGCATTTCATGAGATCCCTTTACAATTGCCTTGGCTGCAGAATCAGCACAGGCTGTTTGCTTTCCCTCCCTCTGTTTGCTTTCATTGGCTGTAACCAGTTTTTTTCCAGTTCCTTCCTTTCCTGGGATGCCAGTTAATGCCAGTTAACACCAATAACACCAGTGCCTCAGCTTTTCAGCTGAAAACAGGTTCTCACACCTGCTGAGCTTTTCACTGTCAGTTGGCTACTGATAACACTGCAAAACATCCTTCATACCAATGCCATGCTAAGCAGCAGACCTCAGGATAAAATATTTCACGTTTCCACTTACTGGGAACATTTTTCCCTGAGACCTTATCACCATGATACAGTGGTTTTGGCACAGGGTGTAACTTAGGGAGCAGGTTGAAGCCCAGAGCAACAATGCCCCTTCATTTTTTTTATCTTGCCATTATGGTTTGTGCTGTGTACTGACTGCTTTACCATCCATAAAAGCTGGTTACCTCCTGATGTTACTAGAGGAGGAAAAGTTAAGACATTGCTGTGTTGCAGCTGGCACAGATACCATGAAATAAAGGCAGAACTAGGGAGGAAAAGTGGGTTATTTGGCCTTTATTTTCAGAAGATTATCCTGCTGGATTTCTAAGTAAGCAAGTAGGTAAATATTTAAAAATCAGTCCAGGCTCTGGCTTCTGAGGATAATGTAGGTAGCACTGAACTCCAGTTCTAAACACAGTTAAAAGAAATCTCCTTTGTTCTAAAATATCTTTTTATTCTTATTCAAAAAGAACAAAACTCATTGTTGTATTCACTTAAAATTCATCACTTCATCAGAAGATTTGGGAACTCCATGAAAAGCAGCCTTTTTTTTTTTATTACTTACTCCTGGAAGCAGTATGCTTCTTGTTGAGGGAAGATGCATATCCTGATAAGCTTTTAAGTTATCCCACAGTATATAGGTGCCAGCAGCTATACATAATCAGTATATTTAGTTGGAGGACTACATTTAGTTTAGGGATTTGAACAGAAAGGGCTGCAGTTGCATTACCTCTCTTATTTCCATCAAAACTAGTAATAGCTCACAGCTGAAGGACACTCTAAGTGTGATGGTAGTGGAGGTGCCTGCCCACACTGTCTTTGTAGAGATTGGCAGAATCAGTTTTGTGTGGAACAGGGGGAAAAAAGGGACAAATAAAGGGTGCAGAAGATCTTCACAAATGCTAGAAAGGCTGATGGATACTTCCAGTCTCAACAATGTTGTACTGCAAGCTTGTCTCAATAATTTCACACAGCAGTCCCTATTTCAGCAAAGCACATCTTTGTCAGTGGGATGGCAAAAGCTAATAGTAAGATTAAGTAGCCAATTCTTGTATATCTGATTACCTAAGGATGGGACAGATTTTCTATGTGGAACTTTCTGTAACTTCACATGTGCAAACTTAACAGTTGGGAATCTCTGAATAACCCTGGTGCAAAGAGGGCATAGAATGGGGGAGTCTGGCATCAGTTCATGCTGTTCAGGATGCCTCTCTTCCCACTGGGCATTCCCCCTTACAAACATCCCCCCTTTTCTGCCAGACCTCACCAGGAGCCTGGAGAGCCTCTCATATATTCTCCATGAAGCTGAACATGCCACAGGCAGGAGGAGTGAACCTCAGGGCCACATAGGCTTTGCTCCCCAGCAAGCTGGAGCAGGATCTCAGCAGTTCTCTGACTTCTTTAGGGCCATTACATAGAAAGACATTTGGGAAGTGGGAGCAAGTGTGTAGCTGTGGAGTTAGCCCAGTTTCCAAACAGCAGGCACTCGAGCAGAGCTGTGGGTTATATAAGGTGTGTGCTGTTAGAGGAGGTTGTTTACACACCACGTTATAGCAAAGGAATCTTATCATAGCTGATTTTAAACTTTGAAAAGATTTCAGCTCCTTCCCCAGTCTAAACAGCCTCTCTTTTTTTTTTTTTCTTTCCAAAACATCTGAATAATGTCTTTAAAAGCTGACATTAATTTTTGCACATAGCCCATGAGGATGTGGCAAAAAATTGTTAACAGCTCTGATAGCATCCTGACAGGTGGACATTTTGCATGGAAAATATGTTACACATGAGAGCAGAGCTAGGCTGACTTATTTAACTCCACACTGAAGGTATTGTCAATGCCAAACTTCCTGCTGGAACCAGTGCCCCTGCGGCATCCTTAGCTCTCCACCTTCTGAAGCTGACAGTGAGACAGCTGTCAGGGCAGTTGCAGCATCTTTGTCAAATCCTCTTGTTAAGCAAACACTGATAAGGGTGTATCATGCCTATTCTACTTAAGAAAAAAATGTTTAGGAATTCTCCTTCCTGGAAATTTTGCAAAAGCTACCAACTTTCCACCTCTGCCTTCCCTCCAATGCTATCTGCAGGCATTAGTGTATTAAAACAAAAACAGCCAAGACAAAACAGCACTCAGTGAAGGAGAAGAAAAGCACAAACAAGGAGCCTGCAGCACTGCCAAATTATACAACAGTGATTCCCACCAGGGATAGCTGGGACAACTTTCCTCACTGAGGCCAGCGGGTCTGCTGAGAACACTTCGGGGCTCCCACACCAGGACCAGGACTAGGATGAGGCAGGCAGCCCATGTAGGCAGCTTTCCCACATCCATGTAGCTTTTGCTGTGGTGCAGCCTCTGGCCACTGCTTCCCCCAAAGCTAGCAGGGGTGGAGTGACTCCTAGCAGCTCTCAGAATCAACCCTTTGACTCAATATAACTGAGACACTTTTTCCACAGATAATTTTCATGGGAAGAGGGTGGCTTGCTCTTCATTTGCTTGTAAAATAGCATGAGCATTTACGCTGTGAAAGCCATCGCAGACTGCAGAGGGCTGCCATGGCTTTTCTTTCCTCCCTGCTATTTCTCACCACAACTTGCTCAGTTTACAAGAGCTATGCAATGCTGAATGTGCGCGCTCAGTGCCCTAACTTTAGCTGACACAGCAAAAACTTCAAAACCACCCCTTAAGTGTGCCTTCTCTGTTAGAAACCTGTGCATATGAACACCAGAGGGAGAAGGAAAAGAGAGTGAGAGACACTTTAAGCTAATGGCTAAGGAATGTGCATCGAGTTGTGTGTGGACGTCTGATGTCTCCAACTATTTGTTAGCAGGCAAAAGCAATACTTCCGACAAACGGCCCTCCCCTCGCCTGTAATAGGCTCCCAAGAATAGCAACAGCCTGTGTCACTGCAAAGGGCAAAGCCTTCTGAAATAGCAACAAAGTTGTTCACAAACCACTTTGTGGTTTGCGTTTGGTTGCAGACAGCTTCAGCAACTTGTTGCCATGAGGAAACTAACCTGTGCTTTCCCCTCCGTCCAGGGAAGGACTGCTGCCCTGTGAAATGCTCCTGCCCCAAGGTGCAGAGGGGCTAGCAATGGTACCTGGGCAGAGCAAGGAGGACCTCAGCCAGCAGAGCCAGAAGATGAAAGCAGGGGAGGATGAGGAGAGCAGCCGGGGCAGCCACCGCAGCAGCCGCCGCCACCTCCCTGAGCTCCCGGCTGCAACAGGTAAAGTGGCCGGAGCTGAACGCCAGCTTAGTTTGTCAGCAGAGCAGCAGCGTGCCCGTGGAGCTAATGCTTCGGGCTCTGAAAGCAGCACTGCAAAGCCAAGGGACGTCCCAGGGCATGGGACTCTCGATGTCTAACAGTGAGAGAGGGGAAAACATGAGTAAGGAAAAGAAATGCCAGCTTGAAATTTGAACCAAGCTTTATGCTATACTTTTCCCAAAAGGCCTCGGTCCTACTCTCTGTGCATGTGTTGTTTGTTGTGCAGAGGCCTTCCCTTTACATAGATCAATCACCTGAAAAACTGGAAAACCCTCTGGTGCCCAAGATAGCAGCTGTGCTCCGGCTCTTTCATGCTCGGAAGCAATCCAGCCCTTTTCACGGAAGTGGAAGGAGGCCAGGCAAGCACTGCACCTGCTCACACAGGGGGAAATTGCAGGGTGGGGACATGGGGACTCCCTCCTCTTTTCCCCCCTAGCATTCCAGGCAGACATAGGGTTTCTGTGCTGACACCCTGAAAAAGCAGCTGCAAAATTTCTTCTTTTGAGTACTGAAGCTGAATTTCATAGCTCTTCACCTTTGCTGTCCTGCCCAGCCAGTCTGTCCAAGTTACAGCATGGTTTTGCACCTTGAGTCACTTTCACTGATGATAAGGTCAAAGAGAAAATGACCCACAAACATGATATTTCTCACCCACAAGACAGCTGTACCCAAAGAGGAAAGTACATTTGTAATCCAGAAATTACTATGTCCCGAGCAGGTTTTGTTCACTTAAAAATGAATGAACTGACTAACCCACAAATACCACAGGCAGAAATGCTTTGCTGGAGTATAATAGTGATCAGTCTAGTAGTATCTACTGATACCTGGATGCAGAGATGCAGAGGTCAATCAAGAACAGAAAGCCGGTTGGTGTGCAGACATATTTAACATTACCTGAGGGCATGGGGGGAGCAAAGCAGTTGCTTCTAGGATAACATCATCAAAGGGAAGCACAGCAATTACAATAGACAGCAGAGTTACTGCAGCACAAGGGTTGTGGCTAGAAGAGTACATGCAAATTACACACTTGGCCTTACCCTCAGAAATTAAAGCAGCAACTTGAAGGAATTTATAATTGCCTAGCTAGGAATTATAAGAACTTGTTGATTCTTACTGGAAAATAATGAAACAAAACCCATTCAATGTAATCAAGTGCCGGGCTGCCTGTTGACATAATGAAAATACATGGAAGAGCACTAAGAAATTGAGAGATGGCGAGGGTGGGTCTGCTCGGGATCTGCATTCCCTGTCTTTCCATCAGTGCCAGGGGAACTTTTTTCATGAAATTCAGATACTATGCAATACTTTAATTGGGCTTATACTGTACAAATTATACAATGCTTCCCACCATCACAGAAATTTAGATGTGTGAAAATATACAATTCCTTCTGCCTTCTTTTTTAGTCAGTTACAAAATATATGCTTTGGTTTTGCCTTTCACACTTGAGTGAAAGGAGTCACATTGGCCAAATGATCATGGATCCCACAAGGCCCTGACACTATTTTTGGGTAAATTTAATATACTCTGAGATTTTCCAGCTCTGCTTGAAACATAACTTTGTCCCAAAGCTACCGTTTGTTTCTTCCCGTAGGGTCTTGCTGGGTAACTGATTCAGATCCCATGCCAGACTTCTAGATAAGCAGTTAGATCAGATTTATGCCAGCTAAAAGGAGAAACACATCTATTAAATATCTATTGGCTCTAAAGAAACCTCAGGCAGTAGAGCAGATCGACAGGGAAGTGGATGAGACAGAGGAAGGGACTGTGACAGTGACAGTACAGAAAAGATCATGATGGCATGAAAGTAGGATAATCATCTTTTACAAGAAGCAAAACCATAATTCAATCATGCAGCAATTCCCAACACATGCCATTAAGTATTTATCCTACAAAACCATCTGATCTACACACTATACACTTTAGCAAAATGCTTCTCTAGAGACAGCTTGGGGAGTTATAAACACTATTTCCCTTTAATGGCAAACTTTTTGTATGTCAGACAGCATTCACATGGAGAAGAAATATGTTGTTAAAGATAGCTTAAAATTTTCAGATAGAGATGCTGTAGTTTTAAGATTTATCATGGATAAATATAGATACCTTGTTCTGTTGAAGAAGGGAGATTCCATGCTGTGGATTCATATCTATGCAATGCACTCAACTAACTCTAATTTTCTAACCTGTGCTTGTCAACCAAGGATTGACAGAGCTTGGTTTCACCTTCCAAATGTCTAAATAAATCAAAGTATCCCCAAGGATTTAAAGAGCATATGTTAGACCTTGCAGGACAATAATTTCCTTCCCTCCCAAATTGGGACATTTCTCACCTCAGATTAAATCAAAGTCAACAGAAAAAAGTAGTATGTTGGAAGCGACTGTCAAATCCCCTCCTATCAAAAATAGATGTATTTGCACAGGTCACGCAAAAAAAGTAATCTCTCCTCTCAACATCCTATTCCATCCCACTAATTTTCTGTACACACACGGCTTGTTCTCTTGGGAGAAAGGAAAGAAAATGTACATAAATGAAACCTCAGTGTCTGGATTAATGTGGAGTGTGATGTGTGGTACTGTCAAGGTAAGCTGCAAAGGGCTCCCGAGCCCATGTCCCATAGCTCTACTGCACGTGAAGTTGGAGAAGAGAGGTGCTTCCCAGCTCAGCTTGCTTGTAGGTCTTCCCTGGCACAGATCATATATTTATCTGTAGTGCCCAAAAACTTTAGGCACAGGCCAAATATTTTGCTTTTGGAAGGACTCTATTTTCCCAAACATGTGCTTGAAAATAAGGTCACATCCTTATTACTTGACCCTATGCAGTCTCACCATCAGTACTCTGTGCTATACTGCAACTGTGCTTTGTCTCCTTTTCAGGAGCCTAGCATTTACACTTCCAGCAAATGTTCTTAAATATGAGTTTGTTTGCCAAGTAATGCTTCCTTTGACCTGAGTAACAGTTGTAAGAAACCAGTTTGTTTACATGCAGAAACTCTAGAATAGACTTTCCAATCATTTGTCACATACCAGCCACACACTCATTACCCATGGTGTCTGTTGCAAACAGAAAGAGAAATTTCTCTGGAGGATATCATTAAAATATTTTATTCCCCTGGGATGCACAGTGCCATGGATTTTTCAGGCTTCTCATAAAAATAAGAGGAATATGAATTTTAAGAACTTTTTTTAGGGAAAAAAAAAAAAGAATGTCTAAGAGCTGCCAGCAACATAATTAAAAGTGACACTTAAAAGAATTGTGAGTGCAACTACTGCAACATGCTTTATCTGGAAATGTTAAAGCAAAACATATACTGAAGTCAGAGGGAATTTTGACCAGAAGAAGACTAAAGGAAAACCAAGCAGAGATTTCAGGGATTGACTCATCAGGTAGCTCTGAGCAGTCAAGTCTTAGGTACACCAGTTACAACAAAACCTCATAGCGATATAAGGGTATTTCTCAGCAGAACAGGGCCTGTGAGGAACAAGAGACACCAAGTCAACTGCTGAGTTTGCTGCTGCTAACACAGAAAGACAACATGTCTCCCTCTGCATCACATCAGAATCTGCTTTTCATTTAGGGGACTGCTCTAGTTACAGCTCTCTTCTATTTCTATATGACTATGCATCTGTCACTGGACACATGAACAATGATGCCAGTTGATTATTCAGACATTATTCAAGCTGCTGTACTTGGAGAGACAAGAAATATATGGGCTTGAGTGCTTCCCTATCAACTTCCCAAATGTTCAAGCTCCACAACCAGTCTGTACAGCCTCACAGATTAGAAATAAATATTCACCTTAATTTCTCTGAGGACCACAGGCTGAGGAAAGCACAGTCTGGATTGTAAAGAACAGTATTGGTGGTGGACTCCGTCAAGATATCTGACTTTGCACTCTCCTTTTGAATCAAACCTGGAATTATACAAAGCTGGCAGTTGCACATTCAAAGAATTAAAAGCTGTGAAGGACAGACCTCAAAAGTATCAATAGGAGACACTGCCCAAGCTGCTGCGTTTCTGCTGGTGATCCTTACACGCAGTTTTTGTCCCTCTGTTGCTTAACATCTTTTCTCAGTTGCTTGGAAGAAAATAATAATGTATTATTTGTGGGTGATTAATCAATGGGATATGCCACTGAGTGAATGCAATTTGGGTGTTTTGGCCTGCTGACTGCAAGTGAAAGTACTGTCTGGGATTCCCCTCTTCTAACTTTTGGCTTCTGCATCTGAGCAAGCCACACAGAATCCTTTTATAGCCAATGGAGAGAAATAGGCATCTGACCTACTTCAAATATCTAGACATGCCTATTTTTCACAAGTGGTTACAGAAGAGGTGTAGAGATGCTGCAGATCTCTCACAGTTAGGTAAGTTGAAACCATCCTATGTATTTCAATACAGACATAAAGTGATTTGCATTCTTAGGGTGAAAAAAGTCAGGTCACATTTAAAAGAAAGGCAGTGCTTTGGGAAGAACCCTGTCGGAAAAGGAGCTGGTTGTCCTGTAGGGTAACCAGCAGAACTTGAGCTCCTGTACATGCTGTGGCAGTTGTTAGATGAGTAGAGGAGAAGATGTCCACCAAGAGGAGGAAAATTGTCAAGTTCCTATCTGGCATTGTGCAAACACTGCAAGAGCACTGGGTCCAACTCATGATTTATTGAAGAAGTTGATAATCTGGATAGAATTCAGAGCAAACAGCTTTGAATACTTAAGGGACTGATAAAACTGTAAAGCCTCACAGGCTAAGTAGCTTATCAAGGAGAGGTCTTTGGGATGACTAGATGACAGGCCATAATTTTGTACTTGGTGAACACAGCTAAATGCAGGCAAACAGAGAATGTTACATGATGGCTGGAAGACGCAGTTGCAGAAATTAAGCCTAGAAATAATTTACAGATAATTTACGGTGAAAGAAATTATCCACTGGGAGAAATACTAACTTTAAATCATTTGCTTTCAACTATTAGCAATTTTTAAATCAAAGCTGAATATTTTAAATGGCCCAGTTCAAATAAAATATCATTTAAATGAGTCTGAAGGGTTATGTTGTGCTGTTCTTAAGTGTCAATTTGGATGAACACAATGGTCTCTTTTGGCTTTAGAATGTATAAATTGAGGCAAAACCTTAGGTTAAATCTACATGGCTCAATGATGTAAAATGCAGAGATATCCAAGGCTAAGGCAGCATAAATATCTAGCTAGGATTCATTGAAGGCTGAATTTTCCAGATCCAGTAACATACAGCAAGAAGGCAAGTTAAAAGTATAAAGGGGAGGGAGAAATTAGGTTTTACAATTACAGCTTGTATATTTCATGCATGCAGTGGAGGATGGAGCACATGAAGCATAAAACAGCTTAACTGGAGTCAGTAGTACTTCCACTGAAGTACTGTTCAGTGCAGTTCAGTGTGTGAAGGAAGTGCAGCAGGATCTTGCCTTAACCTAACCCATTCACTAACTTTTGCTTAAAGTAAGTGCAATGACCTTGGATACTGCAGATATGAAAGAAGAAGCTTTAGACATAATACAGATATGGACAACAACAGTATATATATATATATATATAAAGAAGATTGTTCCATCACTGAAGCATTTTGTAAATTTGTTTCTGACATTTTCTTCAAGCTGTCCTACCTCCATCACAATAAATCCAACACCTACCCCCACTTTATGAAAGACTTCTCGCTATATCCCATTTCCCCCACGCTCTTAGGGCCCATCATGACAAAACCATGTGGTTTTTTTATCATATCCTGTCTATCTCTGTTTTTTCAGTCACCCAAGCCCAGAGGCAGAGTAGACTGAGTGGAGATTGGTGCACTCAATAGCTCCTGCAGTTGCCACTTGGCTTCTGCCTAACTAAAAGGGAAGGAAGGGAGATCCAAGTAGACAGCTAATAGGTGATACTTATCTTAATAGATTTAATGGTCTAACTAATATCCCCTGACCCTGGAGGCACAGTTTATATTCACACTGTATACTCTGCTACCCTCCAAAATGACTCAGCCTTCTGTGGAGTGGCTGTAGGATGTGATAGCAGGCTCACACCTTGAGCTGCCTCCAGGAATTTTTAGGAGAGTTAAGAGTTGGCTTGGGGCACAAACATGCCATGGACCATGGCAGCAATTTAGCACGATATGTGGCCATGTGCCAGGGTCTGGGCCTGGGCTCTGGCACTGTTTATTTTGGTAATGCATACGTACTGCTAGGGCTGCCCTTCTCCTCTCTTTTCATGATTTGCTTTAGAAATGTAATATCCTCTGTCAAATGAGACTGATCCTTACCAATGTGCTCAAAAGTTGTTGGCGAGGAACTCCAGGCAGTCAGTGAGATCAAAGAGCCTTAATGCCTTAGAAAAATAAGCTAAAAATAAACAAAGTATATGTATCATTTTCAATTAGACCATACACCACTTTCCAGCTTGTTGCAGGAGAATTAACTGAAAGACTGACTCAGTTATGCTGCAAAAGCTACCTCTCCTCAGATACATCCTATCTCTTCAACTAACTAGAAAATCAGAAGTCAATTTTCCTACTTGTGTGGCAGCCAACATCACGATGAGAGGAAAGTCATGCTGGGAAAAAGAATAAGACCAACAATAACAAACTGATATATTCTTCAAGGTTTAGGGTGTAAAAGGCCTCACAGTTACTAGAATATGATCAGTCAAATCTATCTTGTAAAAATAAACAATGAATCATAGTTGTATAAAATGTAAAGTGGACATCCAAAGGCATATAATCTCCACTTGGTTTATGCTTTCACCATCTGTTTTTTATTCCTGACATTGTGGCCATCATAAGCTACACAAAACATTAGATCTTGATATTCTGAAGTATCTGAGATTAGTGATGAACAAAGCCCAGAAAGTTCCTGAACTTGTACCTCAAAGACTGTTTTCCCTACAATATCCCAGCTATCTGAATCAGCCTGGTACTTGATGGACAAGTTTCCATTTTGCAAAATAAAAACACTGGTACCAGCAGCCTTCATGGCATCCTCAGGTAAATCAAAAGAATTGGTAAGTGGTAGGAACAGAGTAATTTGTTAATTATTCAAGTCAGGGTTGAAGCAATTTCACTTGGAAATTACTGTTTTCCTTGCCCATGGTACACTAGTTAGGTGGACAAGACTTTCTCAGTTCAGTACAGGAGAAACACTGAGAACATCTCAAAGGCAAAAACTGTTTTCTTAAGAAAAGATTGTACTGTCAGTGTTGCTTTTTGTAATGGCACTCTAAGAGAGAAGTTTTAATATTTAGGGCCAGATCAAAATCTTATTGACTTCTGATCAGGAAGGTAAGAAACCTAAAAGCATTAAAATTAAAGAGGTGTTTATAAGAAATAATATATTTTTTTTCCCAAAATATATCATTTTATGACACCTAACAGCTTCACCTAAAAATTCTTAAAAGATTTTTTGGACTGGAATATCAGTCCAAATATAAAGTTATTATTAGTTGTCAGAACGCTGCAGAAGTCGCACTTCCAATTTATTGTGTTTTTTTCTCCAATTTCAGGCTGTGGAACGTTTACCTTTTTATCTTCTGCTGTTGCTGCTGTGAGTGGACTTTCGATGGGCTATGAGATGGGCGTTATCTCTGGAGCTCTTCTTCAGATGAGCAGCATATTAGAGCTCTCTTGCAAAGAACAGGAAATCGTTGTGAGTTCCCTGCTTTTGGGGGCCTTATTCGCATCCCTTATTGGTGGATTCCTGATAGACCGATTTGGAAGGAGACTTGCTATTATTATTGCATCTTCTTTACTTGTGTTGGGGAGTTTGATTATACTGCCCTATGAATCATATGGGCTACTTATTGTGGGACGGATTGCCATAGGTATTTCCATATCATTATCATCAATTGCAACGTGTGTGTATATTGCTGAGATCGCACCAAAGCACAGAAGAGGCCTCCTAGTATCGTTAAACGAACTCATGATAGTGATGGGCATTCTCTTTGCCTATATTTCAAATTATGCTTTTGCTAGTGTATCTCATGGCTGGAAGTATATGTTTGGCCTTGTGATTCCATTAGGTGCTTTGCAGGCTATTGCCATGTATTTCCTTCCTCCAAGTCCTCGGTTTCTTGTAATGAAAAACAATGAAGAAGCTGCGAGAAAAGTACTGGAGAGGTTACGGGAAACATCAGATGCTACTAAAGAACTTACTGCAGTCAAGTCTTCCCTGAAAGATGAAGATCAGTATAGTTTCTTGGACCTGTTTCGTTCAAAAAACAACATGAGAGCTCGAATGTTGGTAGGACTCACCCTAGTCTTTTTTGTGCAAACAACTGGGCAACCCAACATTCTATTTTATGCATCAACTGTTTTGAAGTCAGTGGGGTTCCAGAGCAATGAAGCTGCCAGCTTGGCTTCTACTGGAGTTGGAGTAGTTAAAGTGGTCAGCACAGTCCCGGCCATAGCTTTTGTGGATCAAGTTGGAAGTAAAACTTTTCTGTGTATTGGCTCTTCTATTATGGCAGTATCTTTGGTCACAATGGGCTTAGTGAACCGTAACATAAATATGAATTTCACCAGCATCTGCAGAAGCCAGTCTCCAGAGGATTTATTTCATCAGAGAGCAGGAAATCCCACTGGTGTCACCAATGGTAGCCTCAAGGACCTCTTTGCTAGTGCGGGTTCACCAGAAAGGTTGTTATTTGATGCGCAGAGAAGCCCAGATGTTGCCAAGACAGGAGAACTGAACAAGACTACCCTTGCAGGAGGCAAAAGCACAACAGATTCTCACATGGAAAGTGAGGAAGTTCCCATTGTCCTGAAATGGCTCTCGCTGGTCAGTCTGCTTGTTTATGTTGCTGCATTTTCCATAGGTCTTGGACCAAGTAAGTGTTTCATTTTTCTAACTCTTTGTAATGATTTACTTGCACGTGGATTAAGCGTTGGGATGACATGCCTGCCTTGGCATCAGGCAATTCCCAAGTTAGACAAAGCAACATTCCCTGCTAATATACACTGGCATTGTCAGAGACAGTCTTGGGGGGCCTGGGGTGTACTTTTTAGGCAGAGGTCCTGCCCAGTAAAGCAAATGGCCTAATCTCTCTTCAATTCAATGAAGTTAAAAACTGCTCTGAGCTTTGTACAACAAAATTTTGGGGCCCCTCAATATCTTTCCTTTTCCTAGTCTATTGTGTCCTTACATTAGGAAGGTTAAGAAGCAGGCATTTGCTGCTGCAAACTCATAAACCCAACATAAATCTCAGCCTAGGGTGACAGCATCATATCCATGAAATGACAGCATGCCTTGAGTCCTGGTGAAGATCTGGCCCCTTGACTATATAAGAGTCTTCAAATATAGAAAAGACATTCAAGGTATCATAGTTCATGAGCAAACTGTAGTATCATTGCCACTACTGGTGCTGAACAGCACAAGTGGAAAAACACAAAGGAACATCACAGAACAATCAAGGTACTGCTGTGGCTACCATCACATTTGCATAGTTCACACTCTCTACAGACAACATGTCTGCCATTCCCAGATAATAGCAATTATGTCTCTACATTTTGTTTTATTCTGTTTCGTTTCAACAGCACTAACATATTACTGTTCTTTGAAGGGGTTGATTTTTTAAAGCCAAACTGCAAAACCCCCATGCTTGGAGTCCATTATTCATTAACAGCCTTTATGTACTTTTTTTGCCCTGGCTCAAACTTGCCTTGCAAACATAGTGTACTCCCGCTGTACTATTATGATAAAAAGCTTGACACAAGAATACAATCCAACAATTGCACTAACAGCAACTCCCCTGCAGTATTTATTTATTTTAAACATTACACCCTGGGTGAGCAGCTTGAGATAAGCATTCATTGCCAGGCAGCAAGCTTGACTGTGTTATTGCAGAATTATTCCTTTCCTTGCAGATCATCCTGGGGGTGGATTCTGCTTTCAGTGACACAGGTTCAAAACCAGGGGTGCAGCCCTGAAAAGAAAACGTTACTTGAGCTTTTACTCCTGTGTTTCAAACACAAGATTTAATGACCCTAAACTCAGGGGCACACATTCAGGCTTGGTGTCTTGTTGAAAGGTGCTTTCCTGTTGACCTGGCTGTGAATGGGCCCCCAGTCATTTGAGTTGGCTTAACGGGAAGTTAAGGATAAGGACTGCTTCCTTGAGGGCTACAGAGACTGATGTATATTTGCCAGGATAATCAGAGAAATCTTTGAGGACTGTGTCTTTTTTCTGATCTCTTTTTTGACCATGAGCACAAATGCTCTCAAACAGCAAGTATGAAAGAACAGGCACAGACTCAGCTCCACCATGTTAAAATCCTGTATGATAAAACCGCATTGAGGCACTTTATGCAGATAAATACATTTGTACAGAAATGAAGGCCTGATCGAGGAGAGATACAGATATTTCAAGGAAAGTACTTTCAAAACATTTTCATGCCTTTAAATGTTAAAACTCACAATGTCTAGAAAATGCAGGAGTCTGAAAATCAAGAGATTATTTGAATCTGCAAAGGATCTATTGTGGTTACATAATCTGGGTTGGAATCCAAAGTTATGATTTGCGTCTCATATGCAGCCTTCAACATCTGCTTCTTGGAGCCCAAATCCTTGAATATATGTTAAAAGCCTAGCTCAGTGTGCCTTTCTCAGTGCAAAGAAAAACAGCCAGAGCACCTCTGCTTATATAAACAATTTTAACATGTTTAGGTTGTTAATCTCTAAATCTCGTCTGTGGCCTGGACTAGACTGTTAGACATTGTCTACTCTGCAGAGAGGGAGGCATTAAGGCTGTACTCACTGGCTACTGTTGCCAAGCAATGCCTGGACACCAGGGGACAGAAGCACTGTAACCCCCATACAACTGTATTTGCAGTGGGAAAATCTCATAATCGGTGTGATGGTTGCCCATCCTGCTGACTGAGACAAGGCACTGCTGGGAATGTGTCTGCTTGTAACCTACAGATTAAATCAGCCTCTTTTGGACAAAGAGCAAAGAGAATCTTGATCTTTTCTCTCCACCCCATAAGGCTATTCCTGGGGAAAAAAAAAATATATATATATAAAAATCACTCAGTTTATTTTGAGCCTGTGCTAAAACTTGTTCTGTGGGGATAAAGGACAGTCCACTTATAGCTGTTAGGAAAATGATACATTCTTGGTGCACATGGTACACTCTCCATGCAACTTCAGATCATGCAACCTGAGTTCTATATCTTCTTTTTATTTAACTACTTGATGGCTTTCCCAGCCCCCCTTCCTTTCTGGGGATTCTGGCTAAAGAGCTAGTTACAGTCTACATTTGCATAGCAGACATTTATGAATGCTATATTTTTCCATGATTTCTCTTTTGTCCCCAAATTACATAAGGTAGATGGATTTTTTTAATGAACTAAACATATGCTAAATATATTTATTGTCATTTATCAAAGCATCCAGGCAGCACTCAATTGAGTGCTCATCACTCCTCATTTTGAGTGATGAGCACTCAAAAATAGACAGTAAGAGATAAAAGCCATTTTTGCATTATAAAAGAATTCACAGACTAGCAAGCATCTGCTTAGTTACTTTTTTGATTCTGGGGTGCTCTGCATTTATATCATCTGCCCTTAGGCAAGATAAAACGAGTATTTCTGCTGCTCTGTTTCAGACTAATTATGTTTGATAAACTGCGATTCAACTGTTTGTTCACACTCAATTTCACACAATTATGAGGACGTTTTGTAGGTGCAACAGATCAGTGGTACATCATGCTGCAGAACAGCACATGCTTTCTCTCCAGGGGTGTTTGAAGAGGTATTTCAAAGCAGTTATTAACTAAGGAGACTTACCTGACACCCATCTTTGCCTTGAGTTACCTTTGCCTGTATATCCAAATGAGGATCAACCATTCTCACCAGGGAAATATGCCTGCACAGCCAAAGAGAAACCGCTCTTTGGCTGCCATGTGAATAGTGAAGAGCGTAAGGGGGGCTCTAAAAGTTCAGTGTGACCCTGGAAATTAATTTAGCACAAAGGACACTCAGAGAAATCCTAGTCAGGGTCTAGTCATGCATGACCACTTACTAAATGGCACTGAGTTAACTGAAATACTTGCAAAGCATCTCATTTGCCAGATGCTCTTTGCGAACCACTTGACAGGCAAAAAATAGTTGTCCTTTCTTATAACGAGGGTTCACCTCCTTCATTTATCACTGTTGTGTAGTACTGTGTGTATTGAGATGCAGGAACCAGGAAAGACAAAACTCCTTATCAGGCTTATTTTTCAAAATGAGGCTGTAAATGTGGAACTCTTGGGGTCAGCTAGAGCATGTGCAAGAGAGTTCTCATGGTTAACACCTGTAGGGCATCCGTAGCCTTTCTGAAACAGAGTGGGTCCAGCCCAGAGCCCTGCTGCTTTCCCACAGACCTGATAAACAAAATTCAGGTGTTTTTGTCAGGTGGCATCTGTTACCAAAGATCTGCTTCTCTGCCTTGATCGTCTCCTTCGACGCCATTTGGGATCTAGGACTAAATAGGGACAACTTCTTTCCATGTGTTTCTATATATCCGCTGAGTGACAAGGTCTCACTGGGCGATCTCACCAATAAGTAGCCGAGAGAGTAGCACCACACACATTAGTAAAGGGATACACTGTGGTCTGGAGGTAATCCTCTTCACTGAATAAAAATCAGAGGGGCTTGGCTGAGAAGCAGTAAATGCAAACTCAGTCTGGACACAACAGAGCATCTGTTGCATCTGTTTTCCCTGTCTGAATTGGTTCCAGTAAATAAAAAGCAACTGAGCAAAACAGGAGTTGGGCAATACCTCTTCACACATACTGTAGGAGTGCAGTTCAAGGGGATCGATGAACATCATGGGGTTATTTTGCTGTGGAGTGGAGAACACATTGAGAGGAGGATGGCAAATGTGTGCATTTGGACTGCATGTATGGCATTGGTGCCTTGCATAAAAGATCTCTTCCTCCTCTGTCTGTCCTCTAAAGATGTTTCTGTATAGCTGCAAAGGCATTTAGGCAGTTGGTCAATAAACTTTGGGATAATCTGTTGGTGCAAATCACATCAGCTCTGCTGACATCATGACAGTTCATGGGAAGGGAATGGCTTCTCTTCTGAATTACCTGTTACTTTCCATTCAGCTTTAACCCAGATGCTTGGGTCCCGGATTTGATCCTAGTGCTTGAAAGGGTGGCAGGCCACCAAGCTGCCCTTGGGTTTCACACTGATGAAATTCCTCTCACATGAGGGACCTGAGATTGCAGCTTCATGTCCCCCAGCCTAGATTCCCCTGAGAAGGGGCAGTGACTATGATCCCCAGCAAGCCCTGCTGTGATGCACAATATCACTGCTGTGGAAACTCTCTGTGGGCCTCAGTGGCCCTGTGAGGAACAAAACTTGTGCATGGAAGTCAATGAAGGCAAGTCTCTAGTGGGGGAAAATCTTAGGAGCAAATTTTTGCTGATGAAATAGTAGTTTGGGATGAGAATATCCACTTCTAATTTAAATGTGGGCAGATTTGCCATATTGAGTATATCAGCTTGAATGAATGCTTTAATACTAAACTAACTTATTCATAAAATGGAACAGATGTTTCAACATATTTGGAAATTTAGCTGATGTAGGAGCCAGATTCATCATATAATTGACAAAGGGAAATATTCTCCTCACCTAAGGGGGGCTTTCAGACCCGTGTGCTCTGACCTCTGCTTTGGCGCAGCCCTCCTTTCCTCACTAGCTATTGAGGAAGTTTAGGGAGACCAGGAACTTAAACTAGACTGTGTGATACCATTCCACATATAACTTGCATTAACTTTTTATTGGCCCGGAAGTAGTCACACAGTTGGTCTAGGTGAACATTGTATGTCCTTTCCAACTGA